TGGAAGGACACCCACTTTCAATCTCCTGTACACCTTGCTGCTGTCAGATGGAGAAAAGGTTTCAAGGATATAAATACACCTCAGTGGAATGAAGGGCTGACCTTATTGTCAGGATTGAATAGACTCAACATGCATGTTAGAAATTCTCAGGATTCCTGTCCTCAACAATTATTTCCTACTATTTCATTGATGAAAAGTGGATAAGGATGTCTGTAAGCATGTGTTATATAGCAGAAGATGATAAAGGTAGTCCCACCCCAGCTGGTCTGCTGAAAGAAGCACCTCTTCTGTCTCCACTTATTCAGTAAAGGAACCTAAGAATGGTTTGCATAAAGAGTAAACTGAGACTGGCAGGCTGACTAATGCATCTACTGAAATTCAGAATGACTTGATCCTTCTTCTGTGTCACTACTGTTGGCTGTTGAGTTTATTTCTCACCAAAATAACCAAACAAATCTCTCAAACCCAAAGTGCAGCACAAACCATGTGTAGCTCAACAAATAAGATTAATGTGGCATTGCAATTTACTGCTTCATTTGTCCTATTGGTCCTATTGGTTCTATATCATTTTTCTTTTCAGACTTAGATAAGTGAAGACAAGCAGAAATTTCTGATTAAATATATTGGAATAAATGATTATAAGATGATTGTGATAATGATTACAAAGCTCCAGGTTAATCTAGAATGTCTTAAGGTTCTTACACTGTAGATTATATGCTATTTAGTACCATCATTTCTGGTTTAAAATCCTTCTATTCTTAGATTTTAAAGCAAGAATCTTTTGGGGTTTTTTTTTTTTGGAATTGTATAGCTGACTCTTCAGAGAAAATGTTGGAAAACATTTTATTTTGAAATATTCATCCTTATGCTTCATATATTCTTGGACCACTTCACACAAAGTTCAAAGGCTTTTGCTGGAAACTTATGCCTCAACACGACTGCAATTCTGTCAGTGGTCTCAATCCTATGAAATCCTGAGCACTAATTTTGATCAGTTCTCAGGTTTTCTCTGAATCTAATCTTTTGTGACATCATAAAAAGTTTGCTGTAATGAAACCACAGAGAAAGAATTAATTCTCTTGGGCAGGAAGAAAAAGGGGGACATGGATTTTAAAACACAAAGATTGTAAAGTTCTACAATAAAAATGGGAAAAGAGAAATTGTGGATAACATGACATACAAGAGAATCCTTCTGAGTAAGCTGCTTTGGAAAATCTTTTTATAAATTTTCAGTATGTTTTTTTGAGAGTAGAATCCTATGCTCTTACTCTAAATCCTCCCTGACTTTATAAAATTGATACTGGAAAAAATCAAATATCTTTCCTGAAAGCTATAGTTTCAATTAACAAGGATGTTAAGCATTTTTTTCGGATACATGAAAAGAGTGACAGGATTATAGACCACCAAATTGGTGGTATTTTAAGAATCTGACAGGCTCAGCACCATGTGCCATTCTAGCCTCTCTGTGTATCCTTTGTGGTTAAAACTCTTAAGCACTTTGAATTCTTTTGGTCAGTATTTTTTTCCTTTTAGGGGAGACAACTAGAAGCACATTCCAAGTAACTATTTATGGTGTACAGAAAATTATAAGATACTAAAATCACCTCTTTGAAGGTGTTTCCAGGCGTTGTATAGTAAAACAAATATTTTATTTGTACAAAAAAAAAAAAAGTTGTTGTTTTAAATCTAGAATATAATTATCTATGTTCCAAATCAAATGGAAGACAGAAACAGCACAAACAGACAGCAAAATAATACATGTCAAATCCTAAAGCCTTTACTTGGACAAATCTCCCATCAAGCTTTGGTGGCAGCTTTGCCTGATGAAATATGGCTGAGCCAGACCTGAAATAAGGAAAAATTTAAGAAACCACATGAGTGGAATAAGTTATGGAACAACACATGAAATATTTATTTTTGTTTTCTGGGAAATAATGACAATTTAGTGCATTATTAGTATGAAAGTAGAACTCCACTAAACCAGCAGTCCTCAGATACATTTATCCAGATACAACAGAGGACCAAAAAGATGTTTGAAGAAGCAGATGACTTTCCAGAATATTTGATACAGGCTGGAAGAAATATGCGAACAAATTTTTCAAATCATCAAGCTCTGGCAAAAAAAAAAAAAAAACCTGACTGTAGCTTTGCATAACTTCACTTAAAAATGGCTCCATCCTCTCATGTTTCTCCTTTTCCAATGAACAAGACAAAACTGTGGACTGGTCCTGCGCAGATGACATATCTGCTTGTCAGGGTTTGTGGTGGGAAGGAGGCCAAAGCTGCTGTGCTGCAGCCAGGAAACAGCCCTGGGAGGAGGTTCCCTGGAGCTGACACCTGGGCAGGGGCTGGGGGACATGCAGAGTGTCCCACTGGGCAGAGCAGCACTCTGGGAGACAGGGAATGAGAGGAGCTGCCAAGCACCTGCAGCTGGTATATCAGGTCATGCAGCAGGAGACAGATTCTGGCACTGTGCTAGGAAAGTCTGTAAGACATACCCCTATCTGTGGGGGTGAGTGCGTTCTGGAGCCAAATCTATGAGTCTCACACTCGGTGCACAAAAACTTAGCAGCTCAGATGGATGGGTAAAATCTGTATCAGTGTAGAAACTGCATGGCATGAAAGCTTTACAGTTCTGCAGAGGAATCTGGTTCTGCTCTGTACCATCTGTGCGCCAATTGTGTGGATTGTTTGTTGAGCTTTGTTTGGTTAGGTTTTTTCATTCGAGAAAGATACATAAGTCAGTAAAAAGAATGCATTTCAGGTCAGTTTAATTCCTGAGCTACTCTTTTTGGACCTCACCACTTCTGATTATAGGCTCAAATTTTGTACAAGAGTTAAAAAGTTTATTTGCACCTAATTAGAGTTTTCTGCAATTTATTTAATTTCAAAGACAACAATTTAATTTCAAACTTTGCTCAAATTAGAGGGAAAAGTAGAAAAAAACCTGGAAATACAGATAATGTAAGATTAGAGATCTGATTTTCAATGTTAGATCCTTACAGCTGACAGTATATTTCTATGTGCACCTAATACACTCACAGTCTGTTGAAACACAGTGACCATGTGATAGTAAATATTTGGCAGAGCCAGACCATGAAATGGATGCTTCCATTAGGTTGTGCTTATACCAATACTGATATAATGTGTTTGTTTGCATGTTTTCTTACAATATGCACAAAAATTAGACTGAACAATTCTTAGCAACAAGGAAATGCAACAACAAAAAAAATAATAAAAGCTTATACATACATTAAACATTTATATAACAATGCATGTTTTATGCACATATCAATAAACACATTTCAGTCAAGGAGCATGCAGTAAACACATTTCACATGACAATTTAAAATTAATGTCCACAGGTACTTCAAACATACTGTGCCACTCTTGGAGTGAAATCCAAAGTTATTAAAACAAATAGGAGCCTTGCTTAATCAGGATTTTGCAGACTGCAGAAGTCCAGAGGAGGATCCAAGGGAATCCTTGAGGAAATTTAAGATCCTATGACATCAAGGTGAAAAAAGGCATCATTTCTATCTGTTTCTCAAGAGGCTTCCCTTGACTCACAGGAAGCACAGTACCTTATGCTCTCAATCAACTGAAAGCATGATGGACTAAGACTTGCATAAACATTGGTAAATGTCTTACAGGAATGTTTTTTAAAATCATGATGTTCTTTTCTGGCTTCTGGGGTTTTGGCAGGAACTCCAGTCTCTAGGCCCATTTCTGCATACACAGTTTAATGATGGGCTTGATTAAGAGACAGTAATTCCTGAGAGGTTTTGCTATCTTACTTATTGACATGAACACGAGTACAATGCCAAAATCAAATGGTTACAAATCACAAACCAATGAAAATTCACAGATACAAAAAGCGTGATGGATTCTTTATTTTTCAGGTTTCATTTATTTCTATTGTTTCCCACTGCGTATGATCTATAATGCTTCATAATATAAGCAACAACCAATCTGGCCCTGCAAGACCTTTTGCCAAACAACAAGTAGCAAAAATGTCAGCCTACATCTGCCCATGAGGGAATTACATTGAGGTCCAGTTATATTTGTCCCAGTAACTCTGTCTGCCAAGTGAGCCAGCTTCCCTCAAATGAGAATTTAAAGGAAGAGCACAGATGTTGGTTCTGGGATAAGCTAAGGCAAGACTGCAAAGGCAAATTCTAGACAGTGAACTCTGTTGCTGGGTGGTTCAAGAGTCAACCTCAAAGGAAAACAAGGCAATAAGTTCATAAAAATGAACTTGTTGACCTCCTACACAGGACTACAAATTTACAGCGAGGTCAGTAGGATTTTTAGGCATATAATATATCTCAGGACAGGACTTAATATGCTTTCAAAACTGGATTTTCATAACTGAAAGGCAATATAAAGCAAACATCCTTGACATCCCCTATATTTAACTAATGACACTGAACTTCAGACCAAATAATTTTCTTTTTCCTCTCCCTGGCAGACTCAAGGAGAAGAATCCTCTCCTGTGGCACTACATTCCATAAAAACTCAGTTTCCTGAAGTCTTCTCTCTTGCAGGAGAAAGTGGAGATGATCCACAGCCTGCAACTCTACCATATATTCCTTTGCTGGAATAAGAAATGTTTTTAGATCAACAGCTTAAGAAGCCAATGGAGCATCTGTGTGCCAACATTTAAGTCTCTTTTCAGCTGTGAGAATTCCATCCTTTCTAAAAGCCTTGCCTTCTCATAGGAAGATGGCCAAAATCTCCCAGATAGGAGTTTGTGGCAGAAATCTACAAATTTGGATTACTAATTACTGCTTTTGAATATATATCATTGCACATGAATACATTATTCTGCATTTCTTGATTTCTATTTTATTATTTCCTTCAGTTTGACCTCCATCTGAATTCCAGTTTATTATGAAATTTTGAATGTTTTATTTTTCTTTCTTTTTCAGTCTTGTGGTTGTTCTCATTCTGGCATTTAGTGACTTTTCCCTTCACTTGTTCCTTTGTATTTCTTTAAGGCAACAAGCCATTCCTGTGGTGCTGGATGGGGATGGGGAAAGTTGCCAGAAAAATTTTTGGTGCACGTGCAGTAAAAATCCTCTCCCCACAAATTCAGGTTTGTAAAAGGTAAGTCTAGGTGGAGTTTCCACAAACAGTGGCACATTGTTTCAGTAGGTAATTGTAAAGTCATAATTTGTCTCAATTATTCGCACATATTATATGCTTATGTATTTATCACTTACTATGATAATGTAACAAGTATTTATTAGAGATGTGAGGCATATTAGACACTTGAATAAGTGCAAGCATAACATTTTTCAATATTCCAAGTATTTCACAATGTTCAATATTCCAAGTGGCACAATGAACTCTCAAACATCTTAGTGCTTGCAAATACCATTTCACTAACAGAACAAAAAGTATCTGTCAACCAAATGAAAACATTCATATACAATAAAACACAAATATGTTCTTTGTATCTTATAACATTTGTAGAAAATTTTTAGACAATTCTAATTCTCACATAAAAATATTTTCATCAAATCTATCTATATGAAATTTTATATTCCATTTGCTGTACTAGAAACTCAACAGTATTATAGTCTTCAAGAAAAAAAATAGTGAAAGGAACTAGATAGATAAAATACATTATTATGACAAACTGCAAGACTCAAATATTGAATCTGAGAATTATACATTATATTGTACTTAACATAAGTGTGATGCAAAACCCACAGATATATTTGGAAAACAAATGAGTTTTACAACTCACACAGAAAGCCATCAAACTGAGAATCAAATACAGCAGAGAAAAAAGCTGGAAAGCAATATAAACTGTGTAAAGGTTAGTGATGGTGCAATGAAACTTTGACTATTGTGTTCCATGCCACTTCAAGAGATGTTTAGCTGAAAGAGAAAGGTGTCAAAGACAAGTAATGAAAATGTGGTTACAGGCACAATATGACCCTATTATAAGAAGAGACTGAAATGAATAAGTGATAATATGACACAGACATCAGATAATTAAATTTTGGCAGTAAACGCCAAGAGCAGTTATGTCCACAATGTTATTTCACAGGAATTCTCAGCTAAGAAATACATAAAGGAAACTTCATGGTTTTGATCACTACTGTAAATGTAACAAAGAAAGAAAATGGAGGGGCTCAGTCATAACCTTCAACTGCCTGCCAAAGTAAACAAGAAGGCGTTTGGTTTTCAGCCAATAAAGATGAAGTGAAAAATGAAAGTGGGAAAGCTCTGCATAGAGCTTTTTCTGGTAGAGAAAGACAGGCAGATGTGCATGATGCTTTATTTATGGCTTTGGTAGAATACAAATGATTTAAAACAAATTGAAGCCCTTTTAAAAAAAAAAAATTAAAAATTAGAGAGTATTAGTCCTTCAGATGTCTGTTGAAGATGTTAAACAAAGTACAGAAACTTGGCAAAACTTGGAAAATCAATAGGGAAAATGCACTTTTCTTTATCAATGTTGTTTCCCATAGAATTCAACTGTGGCATTAAGCTTCCAACTGCATTATCAGGTTATCTAATATACATTTTTCAAGACAAAATACCAGAGAACACTGATAGATGATAGATGAGAAAGAGACAGCAAGGCAGAGACACAAACTTTCTGGAATTAACACCTTGTACAACAGGATATAAATCAGCACAGTAATGAATTCTGCAAAACACTTTTTAACACATTTCATCAGATCATAATTCATGTTTCCACAGATGTTTGACAAAAAGTAATTGCATTTTCCATTTTGGCCATTACACAACTTCCCCAAATCAGTTTTGAAGTTAGCCCTCACACTGCTTCTGCAGATGAATAAATGATCAGTGCTTCCTCCAATTTGGGAAGTGTTGGCACACCACACCACTGCATGCAAATTAAGCTTGTTTTGAAATTGAAAGCAGCAGTAGTTTGATATTAGAAAGATTTTTTTTCTAAAATAATTCGCAATTTAAGGGTCATTCAGAGGCAGAGATCAACAGTCCCCAGCCCCGTAAAACTGTACTAGATTGTATAGCAAGAGAGAGACACTGGCCTTTTAGATTCAGCCTGCCTCTATCCATTTGTATGGCCATCTCTTTCTCAATTTCCTACTTCCTTTTTCCCCCTTAAGTAGATATTTAATGATTTCTTTTATAATCCTTCCTGGTAGAAAGGTGAGAGAAGATTGTTCATTGTTAAAAGTGATAAAGTGCTCATTTCCCATTGTTAAAGAAAAAGAGTGGGGTTCATTGGTAATTGTCTTATTAAATACTTGTATTTAATATTTGATGTACTCTTTGACACTATGACAGATCGTTGACTGCAAATACTCCCAGAAATTCTGTCTTCCAGCCGAGGATGAAACTTACAACATTACTTTATGTCAAAATTGAAAGGGAGGAAACTGAAAGATGCAGGAATGGAGAACTATTGCAATACTGTCTCACGTTCTCTATTGTGTTCAGTATCATGTAAATTAAAGCATGCTTATCAAGACATTTTCTATATCTTTCCACTAAGTATACCATTATGTTCTATGACATGACTTAAGAAAGCACGAGATCCTAAATTACAAGGAAAGCAAGCTGAAGGAATTATGGAAAAAAAATACTTCAATAAGCAATATTCACCACTAGAGAATCTAAACAGAAAACATGACTATCAGAAGTTCTACCTATTCAGGAGGAAACATTTTAAAATAATTTTAAAACATTTTACATTGACATGTATTTATCTTCCACATACTGAACACAGTGACAAACAAGTGTAACACAAGAAACAAAGCCAATTTTAAGGAAAAAGAAATGTTTGCTATTCAAGCCATGGATCTAGTAACAGATGGAAATTGAACCTTTTAGACTGTTCTTACCATAATGACTACTAGGAGAACTCACTAAGTCCAATTATAGCCACAATTAGCACTTTTTAAGGACATAGATGTATAAAGAACTGAGACAGATCTAACACCAATAAAAAACTACCCTGTTTTCTGTTATGTTGGCTTATCAGTCTCTGCAACTGGAAAAGGATTCATCTTTTTCATCACTTCCCCAGATTTTCCCTGTTCTGGCTTCCAAGGAACAGATTTGTCTTCATGATTTTTAGTGACACCTTCAGTTCTCTAAGAAAAATGCACTACACAGTTTTTTCCCCGTGGTGCAACCCCAGCCCAGTGCCCTCTATCCCATTTCTCCACCAATAACAAGTCACTGGGCAGAGCCAGAGGGCACAAAATGAAGTTTTCCTGTGGTTTTTGGATCATCCCAGTGGGGCCATTGGCAATCAGCATACCTGGGATTGACCAAATCAGAGCACTCTTCTAATAACAGAGAATTTAAATAGAACTTTCTTCCCTTTCCCTTAGGCAGCTCCATGGTACCTCCCACTTGCAGCTCAAGGTCCAGCAATGTCTCCTAAGCTATGACAGTACAGACAAACAGAATCCCAGCACTGTTTAACTCTCACTTCCCAACACTCTGTCTTCCTACAGCTCCTTCTCACAGAATTTCATCTCATGTCATTTATAGACACATTTTAGTTAAACATTATCTGGAGAAGAAATATTAAGCCACAAAGCAGGCTGAATGCCTCTTAAAAAGAAGAACTTCTGACATCAGGAGGTTGTTGATACACAATTATTGTTTATTTAAAGAGCTTCTGAGAAACTGTGAGAAGGCTCATTGCTATTTATCCCAAAGCATGGATGTTAGCCTGCAGTTGGAATAGAAACAGATTAATGTTTCCAATGAAAAAAACCCCTTCTAGCCAAATTTTAATTGAAGCTAGATAGCAATTGAAACATTTTTTTCGCCTGGGGAATTGAAGACTCTGAAAACAAAATTGTATCAATGAATTTGGGATTATTTTAATACTAAAAGTCTAAACAATATAAATTATATACAGAAAACTATTTAGAAATTCTTTTGTGAATAGAGAAAAGCCAAAACTTTTTTGCCAGATAGTACTGAGGTGGATACTGATATGTTTTTCCAATGTGAAAATACTTATCTGTTGGCAATCTGATATCCCCAGCTCCGTCTGCTCATGATCATAGACTAATTCTCAAAATTATTTCTTAAGATCTTCATTCCACAGTTTTAAAAGAAGTATCAATGTGTTCTGAAGGCTTTGTTCTCTCTTAGAATTTCACATTCGTCATTAAACAATCACTTTTCATTGTATACGCTACTTACAACTTGAAGCAATGTTCATCTTTAATAAACAGTGGTCCAACAAATATTCTGGAACAGATTAATTGTTTATCACTACAACTCACAGTCTTGTCTAAAAAGGAAGAGATGCTGATATGCTGTAATTCAGAGAAATAAAAATATAAGGCACTCAAAAGTGCAATTGTTTGCTTTTTTTTTTTGTTACCAAGACAGATATATTAAAATCTGTTCAGCAAATCAGTTTGGAATTCTTAATTTTTCTAGGAAAGCTTTGTACAGAAGCTTCCTCTGTAATTCATACTTACCTTCACACATACACCTTATTAGATCCTAACTAAATACTCTGAATGAAGACCATAGTTGCAGTGTTCTATAAACAAGGAGTGTCTGGAAAAATTAATCTTAAAAATGTTTGGACCTCTGAAAAGATCAAAACAAGTTAACGTGTGCACAAAACCTGAGATCATTGTGAAATCAAAATGGAGGGCATAGCTATGCAGAAAAGTTGTGGAGGCTTGAATGGGGAACATACAGGTGTGTCTTAGCACTGCCTAGACTAGAGATATTATACAGAGATTCCATTGTTTTTAAAAGACAAGAACATCATGAGTCCTGAAGAACTGTTTTCTGAGGGTTAACAGTAATGCCATCATATAGAATATTACTGTTATGCACTACTATCTATTCCCTTCAGTAATTAATTATCTCTGGTAAAAGACAGTTTATTCACTTTGAAATACTGCTTGACTTCTTCTCTCAAGTGTTTTGATTGCTAGGCATGCTGAAGCCAGGATGCCTAGCTTGCCAGTTATTTCAATAATCTCTTTCAGTAGCCAGAGTCTCCATCCAAAATCTGAGTACAGAATGTAGAAAATAGGGGCATCCTGTGTCTATTGCAAGTTCTCTGTCTGGGAGGAAACATAAATCAAAAATCTAAAATGAATAATGCATTG